TTATTGGGATCTCTTGAGAAGCCTTCTGGAGCATGTTCGATAGCTCTTTCAGGTAAAACTGTTTGCATGAATGTCTTAGACAAATTATATACCAACTCTTGGATCATTGACTTCGATGCTACTGACCATATGACCCCCACATCTCAACTCTTTCAGTCCTATACCCCCTGTCCAAGTAATAGAAAAATTATCATGGTCAATGGCTCTTTAGCTACCGTTGCAGGGATTGGTGATATACATATCACACCTAACCTTATTCTGAAAAACGTTTTCCATGTAGCCAAACTGTCAACAAGTCTTGTGTCCATTCAAAAATTGACTCATGATCTCAAATGTTATGTTGTTTTTTTTCCTTCTTATTGTGTTTTTCAAGAACAGGACTCGGGGATGAGGATTAGACTTGCTAAAGAAAGGAGCGGTCTTTACCACCTTGAACCATCCCAAAAAATCAGGAGCAATTTGTCCTCATCTTTCCTTAGTTCCTCAAACAAAGATGTCATTTGGTTGTATCACTTAGGGTTCTAAATATAATGTTTCCTCATTTATTCCAAGGATTAAATATTTCTGAGTTTCATTGTGACATTTGCGAATTGGCAAAACATACCCGTGTATCTTTTCCTATTAGTAATAAAAGAAGTTCTCATCCTTTTCATCTGATTCATAGTGACATATGGGGTCATTCCACTATACCTAATGCTTCTGGGGCTCGTTGGTTTGTATCCTTAATTGATGATTGCACCCGGGTTACATGGCTCTTCCTTCTTAAACAAAAATCTGATGTTAGCATTGTTATACCTAACTTCCATTCAATGGTTCAAAATCAATTTGGGTCAAAATAAAAGGCTTTAGGACAGACAATGCTAGAGATTACTTCAATCAAATTCTTTCACCTTATTTTCAATCACAGGGGATTATCCATGACTCATCATGTGTTGACACACCCCAACAAAATGGGGTAGCTGAAAGAAAGAATGAGCATTTACTCAACACCACCCGAGCCTTACTCTTTCAAGAGAATGTTCCTAAGTCCTATTGGGGATAAGTCGTTCTTACTGCCACACACATAATCAATAGACTTCCCTCCCATGTGTTAGAAAACAATAGCCCCATAGAGGTCCTAAATAGCTTCTAGCCTCACTTCAGAACCTCAAATGGCCTCACTCCCAGGGTATTTGGGTGTATTGTCTTTGTTCATGCCCATCAAATGTGTTTTCCTAGGTTACTCCTCCACTCAAAAGGGATATAAGTGTTACAATCCCTCTACCAGAAAATTTTACATCTCTGCAGATGTCACTTTCACAAAAAATAAATCCTTTTTTTCCAAGTCCTCTCTTCAGGAGGAGATTTCCATGATGGAAGATAGTACTTGTGAGCCCTTTGAACCACTTAAAACCCTTGACCTTCCACATGTGCCAGCCCGTGTTGTTGAACTTAGATCAAACTCTCCTCCTATTCCAGCTGAACCCGAGTCC